GAAGGAGGGGGTAGATTGTGATGTGTGGAGCTAAGATGGGTATGGGAAAGACGAGAGAGAGGAGAGAGGAACAGGATCCAAAGACATACACACAAACAAAAAAGACTGCTAGGGGAGCTTGCTTTTGGAGTGGAGAGATGAGAGACCGAGAAATGGGGAAAAACAAAAATGAAAAAAAAGAAGAAAAAAGGTAAAAGAAAAAAATGAATAAATTGAGAAACTGGAAATGAAGAAAGAAAAGGAATAAGAGAGAGAAGAAAACTAAACAAAGAAATGAAAAAAAAAAAAAAAAACAAGAAAAAAGAAATGCCCCCAGGGATGTCCCTGTGCAGAGTAAGGGAGTAGCTTCCAAGCCGCACAGTACTGCCTGGCCGCAGAGGGCCCCCAAGCTGAGAAAAGAAAAAGAAAGCAAATAAATCAAAACAGAACAAATCAGAGCAAACAAACAAACAAACAAAAAAGCCCCGGGGGTCCCAGCAGCACGGCGGCACGGGCCTGGAAGCAGTTTCACAGTTGAGCGGTGTTTCACAGCCTTTCAGGAAGAAGCAAAGATGGTGCATGGACTTAGGTGTTTGATAGAAAGGAGGGGGAGGTGGTGAGAGGTAAGGAAGAAATCTAAAGAAGCGGAAAAAAGCAACACCAGCAGCCAACACAAGGCACTCAGGGAGCCGGCCAGGGCGGGCGGGTGGAATCCAAGCGACAATGGGGTGAAACTGGTGCTTCCCGGCCAAGAGACTGTGGCTGCGGGAAACAGAGGAGGCTAAGTGGAGGTGAAGAAGGGTCGGGGTGGGAAAGCCTATATCGCTGGTTACCGGTTGTTCTGTCTCCTGCTGGAAGCTCCATGAAGCTGCTTTCTCATACCCCCTGTTTGCTGATTTTCGATAGGAGTCCAGGATGGTGGATCTGTGCTGCGGTAGCTGATAGGGGACCTCTGCATGTATCTCTCCTTGCTCTCTGTTCTCGGTCAGTTTCTTATTCCATTTGGTGCTTGGCTGAGTTCTTTATCTTTTCATTTGATGCTTAGGGTTTCAGGACTGACATATGACTCTGACTTACTTTTTCGAGTCTTGGCTGTGGAGGGATGGCGTGGTGCTTCTGACGATAGCGCCATCGTGTGTGCACTTTTGGAGGGTGCACTGTGAATATATGAACATACTCTATGATAGAAATAAGGTGCAATATGTGTTTGAGGACAGCATCTCTCCCATCCATTCAGTTTTACAGATGAGGATATTGATGCTTTGAAAGTTATATCAGTTCCTTGTATCTGTATATTCATTTACAGTGGAAAGCACTTTGGCATAAATTGTCCATTGATGTTGACAAACATTATTATTTACCTATAACAATTTTTTATCTTCTTAATAGGCCAGCTACAAATGCACTCATATTGTGAAAACCCAGACATAGTGTTGTGTGGAAATAAGAGTGATCTGGAAGATCAGAGGGTAGTAAAAGAAGAGGAAGCCAAAGAACTTGCCGAGAAATATGGGTGAGTATTTTTGTGGAGAAAATATTCTGAATATCAACATTTCCACCTGAAGGGCAAGTACAAATGTAAAAAATTAAAACAACAAATTCAGACATAGTTCTTGGTAATATTACATGCCTACTTTGCATAATATTATATGATAATATTTGTGTGATATATGGTAGTGAGAGCCATAGAAAGGGCATGGGGTGAGGACCTTCACGCAGTGTTTCAACCCCATTTTCTCAGTCTCTTAGAACTTGTGGAAAGATAGCTTCAAGGGTGAATGCTGAAGGCCTTTTTCCTGAGATGCAAACAGGAGACTCCTGGAATGAAGAAATCTTCTATGTTCAGCAAGGAAATTTGAAGGCCAGTTTGCGGGCCGTTGTTGAGAGCTCCAGTATACAAGAAGTCCTGTTGGCTGTCTCAGGGGCTGGCTTTCAAACTTCTGTGCTGGGAGAGGGGTGTGAGGATCCCTTTTGGTTCAGGCTGTGTTCTTGTGGTCGAGGGTCGGCAAAATGATCTCAGGGAACAGGATCACAGTGGCAGCAGCATGAACTGGGAATGAAAGGAAGGGTCAGCTGCCTCTGTGAAAGTATCAGCGGCAACGCTATTGAGGAAGACTTTCTACCTCTAACACAAGAAGAATCCAAATGTGTATGTATTAATCACCCTTAATATAGATGGGAGCAGCACAATGGTTGGGAAGGGAGATGACTAGAGGGAGATGGAACGGTGTGGTTTGTGGAGGCTGTTACTCAGGGAGGTGAGGAAGGAGAGATGGAGCAGTGTGGTTTGTGGGGCTGTTACTCAGGGAGGTGAGGAAGGAGAGGTGGAGCGGTGTGGTTTGTGGGGCTGTTACTCAGGGAGGTGAGGAAGGAGAGATGGAGCAGTGTGGTTTGTGGGGCTGTTACTCAGGGAGGTGAGGAAGGAGAGGTGGAGCGGTGTGGTTTGTGGGGCTGTTACTCAGGGAGGTGAGGAAGGAGAGATGGAGCAGTGTGGTTTGTGGGGCTGTTACTCAGGGAGGTGAGGAAGGAGAGGTGGAGCGGTGTGGTTTGTGGGGCTGTTACTCAGGGAGGTGAGGAAGGAGAGATGGAGGGGTGTGGTTTGTGGGGCTGTTACTCAGGGAGATGAGGAGAGAGAGATGGAGTGGTGTGGTTTGTGGGTGCTGTTACTCAGGGAGATGAGAGAGAGATGGAGGGGTGTGGTTTGTGGGTGCTGTTACTCAGGGAGGTGAGGAGAGAGAGATGGAGCGGTGTGGTTTGTGGAGGCTGTTACTCAGGGAGGTGAGGAAGGAGAGATGGAGCGGTGTGGTTTGTGGGGCTGTTACTCAGGGAGGTGAGGAGGGAGAGATGGAGCGGTGTGGTTTGTGGGGGCTGTTACTGAGGGAGATGAGGAGAGAGAGATGGAGGGGTGTGGTTTGTGGGGCTGTTACTCAGGGAGATGAGGAAGGAGAGATGGAGCGGTGTGGTACCTGTTACTCAGTGAGTGGCCTTGGTTTGAGGAGGAGGCCAGGGCAGGCCGTCTCCCTTCTCATTGTGTAAACACTGCTTTGTTCTTCCTTTCCATCTGATGGAGATTCAGAAAGTACTCAGGATAAGGGTTCATATTGGGAAGGAAGTGAGGGGATAGGCTGGCCAGGGTGGGGAGAAGCCTGACTCTGGAGGCCTTGTAATGCTAAGAAAGGAGATTAGCCTTGATCCCCAGGGGGCAGTGAGTTTCTGAAAGTCTTTGAACGTGGAGGGGTGTTATGAGTACATTTCCAGATCAGCCTGGGCTGTGGGTGGGGTGGGTTGGAGGGAGGAAAGACCAGAGACAGGGAGATTGCAGTGGTGTCTGAGCTGAGTAGGGTGCTAGATTCGTGAAAGAGGAAAAGGAGGAGTAAATCAGAGAAAATACACAGAAGAGCTAGGATGGGGCAGAAGAGGATTTAAATCTGCCTCAGTTCTAGCTCCGGGAGATTCCTATCAGTTATACTGGCTTACTCTGGCAAGGAGTAGCAACTGGATGTGGAGGTTTTCATCCTGGAGTTGGTGGTTTTTAACCCTGGTTGCACGGTAGAAACACTTGGGAGCCTTTAAAAAATACTCATTTCTACCTCTGTGCTTCTGACGTAGTTGGTCTGGGGTATTGTAGCATCAGGGGTCAATCGGAAGAGCACACCTGTATAGAAAGGGGTTTGTTAGGCGGGGATTTGACCTCAGGCAGTTGTGGGAGCTGGTTAAGCAATCTCTGTGAGGGGCTGTCTTTGTGTCTGATGCTGGAGCTGGAAGTTCACGGGCCAGGTAGTCAGGAAGGGAAGATGGATATAAAGCGTGGAGAGCCAGAAAACAAGCTGGGACCCACAGGAGGGAGTGGAGCCCCAGGCCGTTCTTGTTGTCTCTGACCTTGGTAGTACGGGTGTCCTGCAGAAGCCAGGGCCCTGCATCACAGAGCTCAACACACACTCCTGGCCCAGGAGTGGAGAAACTGCAGGCGGATCCAGGGGAAGGTGGAGCTGGCCAACAAGATGAGTCAGCGGATAAGCAGCAAATGTAAGAGCCACAAAAGGCTGCTGCCTCACTTCCCCCCACTATCTCCCCGGAATTTCTTGTGGCCTCTGCCCTAACTGGAAAGAGAGTTCTGGGAAATGTTCAACGGAGCCCAGCTGACACATTACAAAGCCATCACAAGTCGGGGGCCTGGGCCCTTGTAGTCTTTAAAAGCTCTCCACGTGATTTTGACGGGCAGTGGTGGAGAACACAGACTAAGGTGATTCTGATGTGGAGGTTGACAAACCCCACAGGTAATTCTAATGTGCTCCCCTGCCTCCCTTGAGAAGTATTGTAGTGGGAGGGAAAGAGAGAGGGATCAAATACCACAGAGAATACTGCAATGTTGAAGCTGGGAGCTGGGTTGCAAGGGGGTAAGGAGGAAATGAGTGATGAAGCAATGGAAACCAGGGACAAGACCATGCTTTTGAGAAGTGTGTTGGTAAAGGCAAAAAATCGGGCGGCTGGGGAGTTAGCTAGATCAAACAAGTGTGTTCTCAGGCACTGCAGGAGAGGCAGGGTTGACCTCCTCCCCCTCTGGGCTTCTTCAGCCCCTTGTTTGCCTCTTCCGGTCCTGTTCTCAGGACTCCACAGCCTACCTGGTCTCAAAGAGCCCTACATTGTCTTCCGTCATATTGGGAACCCCAGGAATGCAGGCACTGGCCCTCATCTGTGCACAGCGTACAGCGTTTGCAGAGGGTTTCATACAGGGAGTTAGTCTGAGGTTTTTTACTTGTGTTAAAGTGAGGGGAGAAGGGATTAGCGGGTAAGACTAGTCAAAACAATTGGAGAATTTCCTTAGAATTTGGGAAGCGTAAAGTGAAGCTCTCTAGGCTGTGTGGCAGCTCTGGAGGAAAAAGGATCAAGTCATTTGATACACGGGCATTTCACAAATCCAAAATATCAGTGGAATTATTTTTTCACAGACATCTGGTTTCATCCTCGTAATCGTAACTTTCTCATTGGTTGTATACGCACTGTCAGGACTGTTAGCTCATCTGTGTGCTAACAGTCAGAAAATGGTGTACAGTTCTTCCCTCCTCTTCATACCATTTGCATGTTCTCTGCTAAATTTTCACTTTTTTTGGTTACTATTGTACTGCCTTCTGTCCTCAATTCATAAAAATTAATCACTGGTTCAAAAGTGGTTTATTGAAATGTACAGAGATGAAAATGGTAACATGAAAGACCTTGACTCAGAAAAACTTTACAAAGCTGAAAAAAGAACAGGCTACCGTGCAAATATGGGACATAAATCTGTGTGCTGGGGATGGAAGCAGCCAAAATTGAGTAAATTGGAGGCAAGATGATGAATATCTGGAAACTTATATTTAGTAGACTAAAAATCCACTAGTTCCTACTTCCTCATGCTTTTTTTCTTTTTTCTATGAGACTTGGTTAAACACGAAGCTCTTAGGTCACTTCCTAACAAAACACAGTAACCTGTCTGGTAAACCCTTTGAGTTTTCCCAGAACAAGTGCAGAATAATGCTTTCCAGTATGCTGTGTTGGATAATGTGACCAATGAAGTCAGAAGAGACCAACACAGAGGCTTATTCAAATTTGTACTCCTCACAACACAAACTGCTACAATTCACACTGTTGCTGAGACACTTTTGAAAATAGCAACAAAGTCACTGACAAATACATTAGAAGAGAAAGTAGAAGGCCACACTGGGAACACATCTCTTTTAGATGACATTGTTAAAGCTCAGAATCACCTGATGTCTGGCTCCCTACACTGAGCTTCTGATTCAGTAGGTCCGGGGTGAAGCCCACCTATTTACAATTCTGCTGGTTCAGGACAGCACTTTGAGAACCCCTCGTGTAGGTGCTACATTACCATCAGGGTGCATGCTCGTAGATACTTTTCTTGACTGTATATTTGGATAGAATTATTATGCACAGAGTGTGAACCAGTTGTCTACATGTGCCATGCATGTGTGAAGGAAAGGTGCTCAGTGACTTCTCACTGGGAAAACCCATGTCAGAGAGAGGAGGAGTTGTCGGGCACAGTTAATTGTATCAGCTGTGATGTCGGTGGGGCTGAGCTCTGGGATTGGTACTGAGGGTGCATGAGCAGGAGGGAGCGGCAAGGACTTTACTCTGTGAGTAAAAGCTGTTCATCTAAGTGCCCGCCCACACTCTGCTTTGTTCACAGAGGATAGTTGGTGGTCATAATAAGTCTTTTGTTCTTGATTCAGAGTTGAGAGAACTAGAGAAGACTGAGAATAATCAAAGCATGGCAACTGAATGTAGGTATTTCGTGTCCTGTGTCAAGAAATGGGCAGCAAGTATAAAACTACTTTTTCCCACCAGAGGCTGCCGGCCATTGATGAAGAAGGCATTCACGGGTCTCTGGAATGAAGGATGAGTTAGAAACATGTATTTACAACATTTATAATATCAGTAAAGATCATTTTGGGAGATTTCAAGTGGCTTAGTTTAGTGGGACGTTCAGTATCTTATCTAGTTTGACAAAATCGTTTATGCACAAAGCACGAGCAGATGTGCTGTGCAGGGGTGAGGGGAATGTGCCAGTGGTTTACCACAGGGAAATCCATGCTAAAGAGAGACCACGGACAATGTGGTATCCATAGCTGGATCTCTAATTGCTTGATTCTTGGCAAACTTATGACATCCTTCCCTTATTCTAGAAATAAGTTAATAATAAATCAGGTAATCATTTATACCTCAGTATTAGTCAGAAAGGAGCCCTGAGGTGCAATGGTTAAATATACTGCCACCAGACATACAACACTGATTTCCAGAACCCAGTGCAACCTAACAGGTGAGCTAGATTTCATTAGCCACAATCTCAGAGGTTGAAACAGTCAGCATTCCAGCCCTTTCCTGACAATACTTATTCATGTAGAATCCAACAGACTATGAAAAGTAGTCTGTAGTGAGAAGTTTCTCCACAACTTCTGGATCCACATGTAAGCCCAATATCCAGAACCATCTGACAGACCATCAGACACACACTTGTGGTTATTCCTGGCAACTTCTAACTGGGTGTTAGCATCTTCTAAATTTGTGAGATAAATAATAAGGAAGTAGCCAGCTGAGTGTGGAACCTGACCTAGAGCGTGAACTGGGGAAGATATCTTGGTGAAAAACTACAAATTCTAATGCCCTCTCATTGATTTGAAGCTGTTTATCATTTTGTTCATTTAACTTTTTTTAAAATTTGCGATTAATCTGTTTTGTAAGAGCATACCAAAATTGGTGGTCTACACATGCTCCAAATGCCCATTAAACGGTCATTTATAGACTGAGAAGACAATTAATTAGCTGCATAGAAAGTTCTGTTTGGCAATATGGCTCCCTGGCCATGCCACATTAGCACCCCCATGTGGACAGAGGGTACAATACCATTCTTTCTATAGTTAAAAGAGGGCAGTTGATGATCCTCTTGAGTTCTAAGCTGAGATTACTACATTATTGCCTACTAAATTTTAGGAAAAACAGAATATTTTTTAGAGAAGAAAAAAAAATCCATTAGACAAAAGTTTACTGAGTAGTTGTTGGGTGCTAGGCTTGTGCTAAGTACTTCACATGTATGATCTCATTTCTCCCTTGCCACGACTCCGTGAGTCCGTTACTCCTCTTTACAGACTGGAGGGGGAGGTCCCAGAGCTGGGAGTCAGGAGATGGGTAGTTTGGCTCTACAGCCCAGAATCTTAATGACTACACATTATTCCCTCATTTATCCTTACGTCTGTCTCCAGCCCCAAATGGTGAGATATTTTTATATTGTTTTAAAAAGATGTATAACATGTTTAATAAAAGTGTTCAGATATACTAGCAGCAAATTCCTTCTAGAACAAACATCAGGAACGTAGGCACATAGAAGCGTTTTTAGTACTATTCACTGGACTTCCTATGCCCTGGGGGCAGGCAGAGCAGTCCACATTGCAAACACAAGCGCCAGGCACATTTTTGTCTCTGGGGCATCACATCTTTAAAGAAGGAAAGTGTTAATTCAGGGTCTTCTCTCTGTGCGGATTTCATCTCGTTCACTTTCCTGTGGCGTCTCAAAGAGCTGGGAGTGGAGTGAACCTACCACGTTGTTGCTGTGTGCCGTCGAGTCAATTCCGACTCACAGCGACCCTATGGGCAGAGCAGAACTGCCCCATGGGGTTTCCAAGGAGCGGCTGGTGGATTCAAGCTGCTGACCTTTTGGTTAGCAGCCTGAGCCCTTCACCACTTGGCCACCAGCGCTCCTGGAATGCTACCACAGCACTCATTTATTCCTGTAGGAACAAAAACCGTATTGCCTCGATTGCTCAGAGGACTCTGAATGAATAGCTAAAGATTTGAAGGTTGTTAACCTGACTCCAGGTCATGTGACTTAGAGATTCACATATAACAGGAAAATACACTTTTAATTGAAAGATAGAAGTTTGTTACCTGAATTTGGAGTTATAAATCTCAATTATATTTTGTTAATAGTGTACATCTTTTAATCTAATTGACTTAGAAGTTTATAACTTAACTCCTAGACCCTGAAATTCTGCCAATTAAGTATTTACCTTAATAAACACTGGACAGCAGCTCATAGCTCTGCTAGAGGCCTCAGTCATTTATACCTTGGCATTAATCTGGAAGGAGCCCTGGTGGCACAGTGGTTAAATGCTCAGCTGCTAACTGAAGGTTGATGGTTCAAACCCACCCAGCAGCTCTGAGGGAGAAAAGACCTGGCGATCTCCTTCTGTAAAGATTTCAGCCTTGGAAACCCTATGGGACATTTCTACTCTGTCCTATAGGGTCACTATGAGTCGGAGTCGACTCGAAGGCATACAACAACAACGACAGTAAAGTAAGATCCTTTTTCTCCCAGCAGTTAGTGAAGATCCTTGGGGAATGAGGAGTTTGATGAGCAGTAAAGCAGGCAAATGCTTTGGGGTGTGAAGCACTTTGGCTAGGACAGGCCTGAGTGAGCCGTCTCTGCTGTAGGGAAGCATGGTCCCAGATACCAGAATTTAGGGCAGTACTATGGATTTTACAGACCACCTACAGCATGGATGAAATAGACTTTCGTAGGCTAGTCTGGGAGCTTAAGGTTTAAAAGTGAAGTAAGGAGCCCTGGTGGCTCAACAGTTAAGCTCTTACCTGCTAACAGAAAGGTTGGCTGTTCGAACCCACCCAGCCACTCTGTGGGAGAAAGACCTGGTGATCTGCTCCCATAAAGATTACAGCCGAGGAAACCCTATGGGGCAGCTCTACTGGATGGCACCTAACAAAACAGTGTTGCTAAGGTCTTTTGGATCCATGACTTTAAATGATCCAGTGACATTTTTCTATGGGATGATATATTCTGAGTGTTAAACAACAAAATTACAAACAAAATTTTGTAACCTAACCCATTTCCGTGGAAATAAGGAACATTCATCAAGCATTTACTGTGTGTCAGGTTCTGCTCTAGGTGCTTTAGACATTAACTCACTTCATCCTGACTGCAAAATACTGAGAGCCAGATTCACAGAGGCACGGAGTTACACAGTTGGTCAGAAGTAGAAGAAAAAGAGAATGGGTCTTTTGCAAAGCCTAAAATTTATAAAATTTCTAGAAGTTTTCCATTTCTGTTAAGAATGCGATGTGAATTACCTTATTTTATTGTCTCACTTTTTAATGTACCCTGGTGTGGTAAAAATTTTTTTTTTTAATCATCTAATATGTTTGTACTCTCCTTACTTCCTAAGTGAATAATCAAGGGCAAAGGTCTCTGTCCTCTCCCTCCACATTGGTCACCTGGGTGGTCTCTGTCTTCCAGAATCCCCTACTTTGAAACTAGTGCCTCCAATGGTGCAAACATAAGCCAGGCGATCGAGACGCTCCTGGACCTGATAATGAAGCGAATGGAACGGTGTGTGGACAAGTCCTGGATCCCTGAAGGAGTGGTGCGTTCCAATGGCCACACCTCCACACATCAGTTAAGTGAAGAAAAGGAGAAGGGGACATGTGGCTGTTGAAAAGTCAAGCCAGCCGCACAGTCATTCAAGCGGCCTGTGTCTGTGGTCTCCTCTGTGGTTGATCCATAGCACAGCGAGAGATCCACGAGCATTGGGCAAGAACTGCTTCTCACTATCCTACTTAGACCTATCAAGCAAGCATCCAGTTCTAAAACTAATTTCCTGGAGCTTTGTAAATATTTCTTTAAGTTTCAGCCTGAGAGTTAGGAGGAAGATTTCACAGAGCCAAGAGTGCCTTAATAAAACCTTAGCCCACGGCAGTTGATGGTTCAGGGATTTTGCAGCCACAGAAGAGTGCATTTATTACGTCGAGTGGCTGAGGATAACTGTCACCTGCCTCAAGGGCTACGGTCTCACATTCAAGATCTTAGATGCAATTTTAAAGCTATCAGTCTTGAATCCAAATTTAAAAAACCCTCCGTGTACCATAGGCGAACTTCTAAAATGCTGTGGAATCCACTTGAGCGTTAGACAAGAATACACACACATCAGTTCAGTGCCGTTGGGCAGTGTTAATTTTACGTAAGCTTTCCCTTTCACACGAACACGGGACGAGTTATGGCTGAATCGACAGACCCTGGCTGAACTGAATTGACCAACGGTGCACTCATTGTGACTCTTCTATTTTGTGGGAGAGGGCTTGCGGAGCCAGGGGCAGGGGTGGTTTCATGTAGTGTGAGCAATGAAGTGGGGTCTCTGGTTCCCTACCATACTCCCATTGCTCTGAAGGGTTGAATGAGAGGTCAGGGAACCAGATTTTACGGCTTCAGTTCACTGTGATCTGTGCATTTACCGTCGGCCTATGTGCTGGCCACACATGAGTACAGCTGATGCTTGTGTTGCAGTGATTTGTGATAAGCAAATGTTTAGCTTCTTTTTTTTTTCTATTTATAACGTGGGTCTGGCGTCCTCAGACTGCAGTTTCAATTAGCTTGTAAACTACCAGTCCTCTGTCTTCACCACCAGGTTCTGTATGGCTATTTGCCATTTGTTTTATTTTTACATTGATGGCATTGAAGGAATTACTTTTGGATTACATTAAATGTCTGCTGTTTGGTGGAAGATGGATGTTTGTATTTCAGCAGTCACATTTGTACTCTGGTTCAGTGTAATAACAATGAAGTGTTTATAGGCGGTATTTTCCATCAACATCACAGGCATTGACTGTACGTGCTGAGTCTTGCCAAAGTCATTACTTCTGCTGCATTGCCAAAGTGCCTTCTTGCCAAATGGAAGGTGATTTTAAAACATGCTTTATGGCATTTGTTTATAAAGTTCAAAGATATTTCATTTAGGGGAAAATTCTTATTTATTACAGTGGTTTAAATAAAGTAGATTAATATTTCCAGAGAGCTTAATGGCTATTTTGGAAGAAACACCACTACTTATAATTTAAATAGAGAATAAAAATAAATGTATTTTGTGGCAGTAAATGTTTGGTAGAACTGTAATTAGAAAATTACAAGTATGATAGAAAATAATTACTTTTATACAATAATTTTGAAATGGGTTTTTATTGAGCACCTATCTTGCTTTTTGCCACTACCCCTCCCACCACCCCCATAACAGACTTAACTGTGGTCATAAGATTTTTCCCATTTCTGTCTTTGAAATGGCAGCTTATTTTATATACTAAAGAACTCACTGTGCCCTATGCATCTGAATTGTGTATTCTAATGATTAAAGGATTCAGATTCAAGATCAGGGTCATAACCACACAGCAGTGCCTTCTCAGACTGCCATAAGACTTCAGAGGAATGGATCACAATTTTACAGCTATATATCAGGGCATCTTTTATATGGTAGTTAAAAATAAGAGAGTAGTTGCGTGTTTTCGTTTTTAAGAACCAAATGAGTAATGAGCTACAGATCCCATTGGCCTTAAACATATCCAGTTAAATGTGTACATGATACACTGCACACACAAGAACCACCTTTAATTATTGAAATAAAAAACCTGTACTCTCTTTGGAAATCATCTACTTAAATTTGATATTGAAGTACAATATATTTTGTGTATCAATGTATTTTTTTCTGTTCACAAGCCTGTGTAGAAAGTGAAGTGTATCTTCAGTGGACCTTGTGCCAATTAAGCTTATAATAAAAAGCTGTCTAGTCAAGTTTGTGTGGACTGTAACTTTGTTTCCCATCACAGTAAAGTTTGAAACAAGTGGTCATAACGGTCCTCGGGAAAGAAAGTTTTAATTCTACTGAAGGAAACCAAATTCAGGGGTACAAATTCCATTAAGTGTTAACTGAATGGCCAGCCAAAACAACGTATTCTGGAGAAAGTAATTCAAATATGTTATCAAACATTTATTGAGCACCTACAGTGTGGGAAATGTTGTACCAGGCAATCTCAGATGAATAAAACAAGGATGGTAAGGGATTGAACTAAAGCGGGGCTGGGCCTTGAAGGTATGGATGCAAGAGACATTGGGAAGAGTGTAGTCACTGATTGGATGAGGAGGGAGAGGGTGGGGAGAGGGCCTTTCTGATCTTATATCCACCTCGCTCACTCCTCCAGAGGCACACTGGCATCCTCGGGAAGGTCAAGTGTGTTCTTTCCTCAGGGCTTCTGCATTTGCTGTTCCCTCTGTCTAGAATGCTATTCTTCCATGTATCTGTATGACCCCACCTCCTTTTTCTTCAAGACTGTTCAAATGTCACATCCCAAAGGACTTGACTGACTACTCTGTATAAATGGAGTCCCTGGGTGGTGAAAATGGTTAACACACTTAGCAGCTAGGGAAAAGGTTGGAGGTTCCAGTCCACCCAGAGGCAGCTCAGAAAAAGGCCTGGTGATCTGCTTCTGAAAAATCAGCCACTGAGAGCCCCGTGGAGCACAGTTCCACTCTGACACAGCTGGAGTCCACTCCACGGCAGCCTTTAGGCTTGAACTGCCAACCTGTAGGTTAGTGGTTGAGCAGAAACTATTTGCTCCACCCAAGACATTGCAGGGTTACTAGCGATCCCTGAATCTCGTCAACCCTGTATTCCATTATAACAACTGAAAAATTTAAAAAGTTCTACAGGCTGGTTATGCGCCCGTACAGCCCAAAGTGAAGCACTGAGTATGGTCATAGGTGGAAGGGAACAAAGTTTCAGATGAAGACTTAGGGTGTGGGATTAACACACACAGGGCAATGCAGCCTCTGACATTGGAGGTGAGAGGATACAGCGGGATGGGAAGGGTAGGAAATTTCTTGGTGAAGTAGCAAGATAAAAGCGAGTTGGGAGGAGGGGGGAATGTGCAAAGGGCTTGGGAAGATCGGTGAGTACTGCCAATAATCGTTGAAGGGGATAAAAAAAAAAAAATACCCAAACCCGTTGCCGTCCAGTCGATTCTGACTCACAGCGACCCTATACGACAGAGTAGAACTGCCCCATAGAGGTTCCAAGGAGCCCCGTTGAAGGGGATAGGAGAGGGAAAAGATTAAGAAGGATAAAATAATTTTCAGTCTCTTGGTTGACAATGATGTGTTGGGCAGACATTATTCAAATTTCTGGCATGTGCCTCTGCTATTTAACATTGCTCTGAAATGACTAGTCAAGTGATTAGACAAGAAAAATGAAGTATCCAAAATATGGAACAAAAAGTATTTCCAAAGTGAAAAAAAGCCAGAGAAACCCTGAATAAAAAGAGCAATGAAGACAGAGGGAGGAGCACTAGGGATAAACCTAGTTATTTAAAAATTACATAATTTAAACATCCGGGAACTGGCGCATACATAGATAAATCAGCGGAACAAAGAGTCCAGAGGCAAACCCACAGAGAAGTGGCATTTTGAACTAGTGAGGGAAAAGGATGCCTTACTAACAAAGTATTTCTGCATGGAAAAAAACCGTAAGAAAGTTTAAAATATTGATAAATTGGGGAATAGCTTGTAAATATACGCCAGAAAAGGGTGAACTTGCTCAATACGTGAAACGCTGTTAAAAATCTACACCATAGCAAACTGTGTAGAGGACATACACAGGCAACTTAGAAAAAACAGATTTCAAACATTTGTAAATATTCTTCACTCACAACTAAAATCTAAGTTAAAATAATAGTGAAAAACCTTTTCCCCTCAAAAACCAAAACCCGCTGCCGTCGAGTCGATTTGGACTCCCAGCGGGCCTACAGGACAGCGTAGAAGGAGCGGCTGCTGGATTCGAACTGGCGGCGTTTCGGTGAGCAGCCGAGCTCTGCGGTCCGACAAGGGTAGGGTGGAACAGGCGTCCTATTGGTTGGTGAGGGCGTAAACCGGGAGAAACCTGGGCGGTCAGGCGAGGGCACGTGTTCCCTGTGGAAGAGTTTTCACCACGTTTAGCGCTTAACGGGGAAGGGGCGAAGCCGCGCGCAGCGCCGTGTCGTCGCGAACCGCCCCCGTCCTCCAGGGTCGCCGAGGAGGCATCGCCCCCACGGCAGCGGGTTAGGTTTGGTTGTTGAAGTCCTCGAGCCCCAGAGCCAAGGGCCCCGGGTCGCAGTCGGGCGGCGTCCTCGCCGCTTCGCCGGCGGCTCGGCTCGGGCTGGGAGTCCGCGGGGCTAAGGGAGTTCCTAAGGGAGCAGCCCACGTGGAGAGCCTCCCAAGCCTAAGTATATAGGATAGGCGTCAGCGTGGATGAAGGGTTCGCTAGGAGTCGGAATCGGCAGGATGGCAACAGGTTTAAATGTGGACATACACCATATGGTTAAAAAAAGCCAAACCCTGTGCGTTGCGGTTGTGTACGCTCCGACTCACGATGACCCCGTATGAACTCGGGCTGGAGGCCGGGCCGAAACCCAAACCTCGTCCGCGGCTCTGCGCCTGCGCCACACGGCAGCCGGGGGAGGTGGCGGGGAGTTTGCCCACCGGGCCGCCAGGAGGCGCTGTCACCTTCCCGCCGACTCCCAGGAGCCCCCACGAGCGAAGGACGCTGGCCTTTGCTCGGGTCAGAGACGGGGACGAGTGACTTCCTGGGACGGGGCTACGTCACTTCCTCTCAAGCTCGGCGTTTCGCCGGTGGGTACCCACAGCAGGTCAACATGCGTATCGAGAAATGTTATTTCTGTTCGGGGCCCATCTACCCGGGCCACGGCATGATGTTCGTCCGCAACGACTGCAAGGTGAGGCGTCTGAGGCCAGCGCGGGTCCGTAGGCCCGGGGCCTTGCCCGCCGGGTCCCCGCTCTCTCCGCCTCTCGGGGTGCAGCCGGGTCCCAGCGATGCTCCCAGGAGGGTGGCTTTGCGGGGAACGCCGGCCTGGGCCTTCCTCTCGCGAGCGCGCCGAAGGGACTGGTCACCGGGCCACCTTTGTTCGTCAGGTTCAGGAGTGAATCTGGTCGGAGTCTGGAGACGCTGGGGTTCCGGTAGCCTGCCCGGCCCCTCTCGTGGGCCACCCTTGAACCCCGGAACCTCTGTCTAGCGCATGCCCAGTCAGGCACCCTGGTAAGGTCCGTGTCCCGAGGGGCGACTAGGACGCGTCTGTGCGCAGTGCGGAGGTCGGAAGAAATGTCAGTATTTGGTGTAGTAGTAAAAGAGTCATGTGTGCACGTGTGAGGTGTTAGGGGACACAGCTGAGGAGGTATTAAATTCTTGGAGGTGACTTCGGGAGCGTCGTATACGAAAAGACTCAGAAAGGAGGTGACATTTGTTCTGGGTCTTGAAATTTGAGTAAGAAAGAGAGGAGAGGCTATGATAGATGGAGGGAAAGTGGACAGTTTGAACAAAGGCGGGAGAGGAAGTAATTACATCTCTGGTTAAGTGGTTAATGGATTGTAGATAATAGAGGCTAGGAGTCTAAATACAAATGTAATAGGGTTGTAGTTAAATAGATGTTGGGCCTGGTTGTGAAAGACTGTGAGTAATATATGAATTTCCACTTCTCCCTCTCTCTCTCTTTTTTTTTTTAAACACAAATTTGACCTCTTACATTTGCTTCTGAATTCACTGGGTACCAAAAAAGTAGTAACCATAACCAAACTCGTTGCCGTCGAGTCGATTCCGACTCATAGCGACCCTATAGGATAGGGTGGAACTGCCCCATAGGGTTTCCAAGGAATGCCTGGTGGATTCGAACTGCAGACCTCTTGGTGAGCAGCCATAGCTGTTGGTGCCACTATGCCACCAGGGTTTCCAGTTCACTGGGTGCTTGTTAAAAATACAAATTCTTCTGCTGAGTTAGAATCTCGGGGAGTCGAGGAAGAGGCTGGGAATCTGTATATTTAATAAGGTGATTTTGACACTGAAGAATTACAGTTCCTTTTTCAATCCTTTATATCTCTAGTCTGAAGGCAGTGACCTCATTAAATTAGGAACAGGGGCTCCTGCTGAAAGTGAGTGCCCAAAGCTGTGAACTTAAAAGAGCATACGGAAGATTTTGAATAAATCTCAGGAACATAAGACATGTATAAGAAATGAACCAAAGGATTGCCAAGTTAGGGTCTGGTTCACAGTGGACAATATGGCATTGTAGATCATCTGGTCATCATGATTTTATGATTATTGCCCACCAGGACTTTTCAACTGTGTATTGGAATGAGAACAATAGATTGTGGAACGTGTCTAGAGTTGAGTATTGATCTATCAGACACTGGAAGTTCTAGATGGTGAGGTGTGGCTAGCAAGGACAGTGTTGAACTGTCTGTGAGCCAGCTTGGTCTAATGAAGAATCATGGGTCTGGAACAGTTGATTGGGGAAATAAGAGGTAGAGGCATTGAATTACTGATGAAGAACAAGTATCTCATTTTTTCCTATGTTGAGGTTTCTCAGATCTGTATCTCCTTAGGTCCAAATCTGAATTTTCAACTGGACAGGGAAATCCTGCTTATACCTAACACTGAACCTGCTGGAAGAGAATTCCTTATTACCTCAAATCTTTTTACCCTATGAATTAACAACAGTCATCTGCTTAGACATTTCTGCTAGAATCTTGTCATCTTTGAGTCTTTCATCTTCTGTATCTCATTATCAAGTCGTATCAATTCAGCCGCCACAAGGATAGTGATGTCCTTGCTCTTTCTGCCCTCCTACCATGGTTTCAGATAGGTAGTTCTCATTTTTATAGTCTCCTAACTAGTCTTTGGCACAGTGGTTAAGGGGTCAGGTTGCTAACCAAAAGGTTGGCAGTTCAAATCCCCCAGCCGCCCCTTGGAAACCCTGTGGGGCAGCTCTACTCTGTCCTGTGGGGTCGCTGTGAGTCGGAGTCGACTCGACGGCAGTGGGAACTGGTTTTTCTGTCACTAGTTTCTTAGCTTTAGAAACTGTTTCCCAGAGACCCTCTTAGCCTTCTTAGATCGCTTTTTAAGAGCAGAATTAGTACTAGTGCCCCGTATTTTCACGTGCTTTGCAAACAGGCAAAACACATTTAACGAGTGCTTAATAAGTGTGTTGAATCAGTGAACTAAGAAAGGTTGAAGAACTATGAGGCCGAAGTATTAGATGAATCGAGGTATTAGATAGTATTGCTTAGATGCTGAAGACTGAGGAGGATGATACAGGACTAGATTAAAAGGGAAATTTGAGCCATGAACTTGGCCTCACACATAATGCATCTACCACTTACTCCACTGTAGAAACCGCTTCCTCATATGTGTTCCGTATTACTTTATACATGATTATTGTGTATAGTTTCATCCCATTGTTTATATCTAGTATGATCTTGTGCTCTCTTTTTTGCAAAATGAGGCTATCACATTACTACTAGACTGAGTTTCTCAAGGTGGGGTACCATGTTTTATCCTTCTGTCTCTAGCACCTAGTATAACATCAGGCACGTAGTAGATGTTCCTTTATTCACTGATAGAATCCTCTTCACGTCTTCAGTGACTCCGGTCTGTTGTACTTTTTAGGTATCACCTATTATATATGGAGTTCAAGCAGACATTTCTGTAACTACCCATTGGCTCTGACTGGAATTGAGGAGACCCAGGACAAGTTCAACTGTCTCATTAGGTAGATCTCAGACATGGAGATTTACCTAGGGATTGTCTAACCAAACCTATTGCTGTTGAGTCCATCCTGACTCATGGTGACCCTACAGGACAGAGTAGAACTGTTTCCAAGGAGTGCCTGGTGGATTCTAACTGCTGACCTTTTGGTTAGCAGCCATAGCTCTTATCCACTGCTCTAGTACGTATTAAATTTACGAGGCTTTTCCTTAAAGAAATAGTAGTACTTTGGCTGAAAATATTCAAAGTAATAATACAGTTTACTGATAATGATTTGATAGCAGGTTACTCCATAAGACTACAGTAGTTTTTATATTTTCTGGTCTTTGAAATTAAAGAGTATAAATCAAGAGTATAAACTTACTTTCACTCACATCTTTTAGGAGAAGGCTTTCCAGGAGTTGTGGTTCTAGATCAGATTAAACTGGTTTGTTTCTAAGAGAACTGTGTCCTGGTGTGTATAGTGACTTGCTTGAAATTCCCCACAGAACAAAGTATACATAAAATGAAAAGTATCATTGCCGTTAGGTGCCGTCGAGTCGATTCTGACTCATAGTGACCCTGTGTACAAGAGAATATAACACTGCCTGGTCTTGCACCATCCTCCCAGTCATTGCTATGCTTGAGCCCATGTTGCAGCCACTGTGTCAGTCCATCTTGTCGAGGGTCTTCCTCTTTTTCACTGACCCTCTACTTTACCAAACACGGTGTCCCTCTCTGGGGACTGGTTCCTCCTAGTAACATATCCAAAGTATGTGAGACATAGTCTCGCCGTTCTTGCTTCTAATGAGCATTCTGGTTGTACTTCTTCCAAAACGGATAACAGATTTGTTTCTTCTTCTGGCAGTCCATGGTATATTCAGTATTCTTCACCTGCACCATAATTCAAAGGTGACAATTCTTCGATCTTCCTTATTCATTGTCCAGCTTTCATATGCATATGAGGTGATTGAAAACACCATGGCTTGGGTCAGGTGCACCTTCCTCTTTAAAGAAACATCTCTTTAACATTTTAAGGAGATCTTTTGCAACAGATTTGCCCAATGAAATGTGTTTTGATTTCTTGGCTGCTGCTTCCATGGGTGTTGATGGTGGATCCAAGTAAAATGAAATCCTTGACAACTTCAGTCTTTTCTCCATTTATCATGATGTTGCTTATTGGTCCAGTTATGAGGATTTTAGTTTTCTTTATCTTAAGGTGTAATCTATACTGAAGGCTATAGTCTTTGATCTTCACCAGTAAGTGCTTCAAATCTTCACTTTCAGCAAGCAGAGTTGTGTCATCTGCCTGTCTCAGGTTATTAATGAGTCTTACTCCAAACCTGATACTGTGTTCTTCATAATAGTCTAGCTTCTCGGATTATTTGCTCAGCATACAGATTAAATAAGTATGGTAAAAGGATACAACCCTGATGCACACCTTTCCTGATTTTAAACCATGCAGTATTCCCTTGTTCTGTTTGACCGACTGCCTCTTGGTCAGTGTACAGGTTCCGCATGAGCACAATTAAGTGTTCTGTAATTCTCGTTCTTAAGCAGTGTTATCCATAATTTGTTATGATCCACACATTCAAGTGAAAAATATCATGGCATGTGGTATACCCACAGGCATGCTGTTGTTGGATGCTGATGAATCGATTTTCCACTCTTAGTGACCCGATGTGACAGAGTAGAACTGCCCCATAGGGTTTTCTGGCTGTAATCTTTACAGGAGCCAGGTCTTTCTCCCACGGAGCTGGTGGGTAGGTTGGTTCAAACTGCCAGCCTTTGGGTTAGCAGCCAAATGCGTAACTATTGTGTCACCAGGGCTCCGTTCCACAGGCGTACTTGGTTTGAAATGTTAAAGTGTTCGTTTTGACCTGTTTTGTTACGGGTCATGCCTTCTACATGTGAAAATTCGTGTTTATTTTTTTTGTCAAGATCCATAAACCTCAAATAATTACTTTTTCCCTTTAGATTTCCCCCAGTAACATACACACAAATTATTATGCGTAATAACATGTTGTGTGCCTTGAAGTTGATTCTGACTTGTAGCAACTTCATATGACAGAGTAGAACTTCCCCATAGAGTTTCTGAGGCTGTAAATCTTTATGGGAGCAGATCACCAGGTCTTTTCCATGGAGCCGCTGAGCAGATTCAAAATGCTGGCATTTGTTTTAGCAGCCAAGCTCTTAACCATTGTGCCACCAGGACTCCTTAATAACACATTATGAAGTACAAAATAGTGCATTTTAGACGTATATAGTAGTGGTACAGTGGTTAAGGGCCTGACTGCTAACCAAGAGGTCAGCAGTTTGAATCCACCAGCCGCTCCTTCTACTCTGTCCAGTAGGGTCGCTATGAGTCGGAATCGACTCCACGGCAGTGGGTTTGGTTTGGTTTGGAGTAAGCCATTCCAGGCACACATTCAGGGATCACTATTAAAGGATCAGATCTTTCAGTATAAAGGAGGAGAGTTAAAGCAGTAATGGATCTTCTGGGTAGATCTTTGAATACATAGTTTAGAAAACAGATTTATTGCCAGTTTTAGTCACTTTTGAAATTATTTTGTGCTTTTCACAAGAAAGATGGAAATAATCAAAGGAGATTCCCAAATGGCTGTTTGAAACTTTTATCCCCGCTGAGATATATAGAAAGTGAATTTTGAAAATTTACCCTGAATTGGAAAGAGAGTGAAATGACTTTCCTTAAAATTACTCCCTTTATTTAAGGTTTTATTGTTATTCTGTAAGAAATGATTAGCGGTATTTAATCCTATTTGAGGGGCTGTCGGCCTTTGTTTGGGATGACGGCTGACGGCCAGAGTTTGGTTTGCATTTACTCGGACACATCCCATGTTTCTAAATGAGGTTGCCAGTAGGTAGAAGGAATTGTGTGTGAGAACTGTTGGCACTTCTCAGACTTTACGTTGTTTTTTGTCTGATGGGGGAGTAACATTTGTAATAGAAAAACTTTTAATGGTGACTGTTCACTATTTTATTTTTCTCGTAGGTGTTCAGATTCTGTAAGTCCAAATGTCATAAAAACTTTAAAAAGAAGCGCAATCCTCGCAAGGTCAGGTGGACTAAAGCATTCCGGAAAGCAGCTGGTAAAGAACTTACAGTGGTGAGTATCGTCAGCTACGAGCATAGTGTTCACATTTTCCAAAATTTTAGTTTTTTTTGGAATATGTGATTTAACGAACTGTCACAAGGCATCCTGTAACATGATTGATTAGTAATTTATTTGTATTTGGTTATGGAAATAATCCTATTCTCACCTGATCCTGAAAACCGTAATTCTGGAGAAAGGAGAAAAAAATTCTCCATGTAGTTTGTAGAAGTGATTTCTCTTATTCTTCAAAACCATTTTTAGTTCTCGCAAAGAGAGGAGAAAATCATTAAAATGTGTGAAGTTGGAAATTCTGCACAAGGCTTTTGAGGGGAAGTTAAGGGGTGAATTAAAGAATTTCTGATCAGCAGTGAGTGCTCAGATAAGGTTTGTAACAGACTCATGTATCAGTTTCTAGGTTTCCTTAGCACGACTGTTTGAGAGCAGAGAAACGAGTAGTGTTGGTGTGAGGAGGACTAGTGGGCAGTCGGGGTGAGGGAGCTCCATGGGGTGAGCCCCGTTGTCGTATTGCTGTACTGAACTGGTGTAGGGATCTGCTGAAGCTTGTCCATGTCTGACGCCTGTAAAGGGAGGAGATGAAAGCAGCTGCACAGGTCGCCTTTGTGGGGGAGGGTCTTTAAACTGACCTCTTCCTCCGTGACCTTCTCCTCCCCCAAGGCCTCTTTCCTACCTCTCCTGCTGAAGGGCGGGATCTGTAGGCATTTGCCGTGAAGCCCTTTCCTGGCTTCTTAAAACAGAGGTTTTCAGTGATCTTAAGGAAATTTTCGGTCAAGATGCAAGGCCAAATCACAATTATTGTAACAAATAATTTTCAGTCTGGATGAGAAGAAGCATAGCACCTCAAGGGCAGGTGGCAGCTGGGTGAAGGAAGGAAGGATGTCAGCCAGGGCCATTCAGTGGTGAAGGGTTACCTGGTCATTACTGAGTTTCCAGCCCCCTGACAGAGGCAGGTGCGAGTAAATGGAAGAGCTGAATCCAGAGTGAGTGCCCTCCTTGTGCCTGTGTCAGGCGGATGTGAAAACCAACCAATACCTGTGGTTTTCCCAAGAAACTTGTGGTTTTTTCAAAATTAATTTACATGTTTTAGGATTAATGGGATCATTAACTGTCAAAATACCAACTATGAGAACTGGTATCCACATTTGGAGGAGACGTGAAGAACCTCAGGCTAGCACTCGTTTATTTGAAGATGTATGGTTTCAGACTTCTTTGCTGTAACAGGCGTTTAGGATGAATCATAGGAAAATTCTTGATATTTGACTGTTTTTAATCTAAGAACAATGGCAATTTCATACTGTTCAACGTAATACCAAGTTTTCTGGCTGAGTCTCATCTCAGAATGGAATTAGTTTATTTATAATTCCTGTGATTGTTATATGCCATTCTAGGAATGGGGACGATACTCTCCCTTCTCCTCCCTTTGAGAATCGCTCATACGGAGAGATGTTTACAGTAGGGGTGTCTTGTACACAGAGGATGTAAAGGAGAAAAGGTTTTGAAAACCTATATTTTGTGAGATCACCCTGGAGGGGAATCTTAGCGTGTATGTGTGGTGTGACACTCTGAACTCCCGTGAAAAGGAGACTTAAGTTTTAAGAAATGGTACCATTCTAGCTCTCTTAAACCACGTGTGTGTGTGTGTGTGTGTGTGTGTGTATGTATATGTATATATATATATGTTTCTGTCTGTTCCCTCTACAGGATAATTCATTTGAATTTGAAAAACGTAGAAGTGAACCTGTCAAATACCAGCGAGAGCTGTGGAATAAAACCAGTAAGTCACAAGAGAATACCAGGAATTGTCAGGAGGAGCTGGCTTGGGATATTACCTTAACTCTGATGTCAGTTGTTGTTTAAATATGAGTTTTCTTCTCATTTTTATTGCTTGGCTTTTATTATTTTACCCTTGCTTTAATGGTTAATATTTGTGTCTTTTGTTCTAAGCTGTCCCAACTTTTCTTGAGAATTGGCTGGCATATCTGTTATAAATACAGTGTAATTATTAAATTTGCTATTATTTGAAGTGTCCACACAGAGATATATAAGCATCCAAAAATCTGAAGGAAAAAAAAAGAATTTTTTGGTGGAGTGTGTGGCATAGTCAATATATACACAAAACCCAACATATATTACAAGAATAGACCACTTCAGGGATGTAAAGAGTGCATTCTAACAGCTTATAAATTTTAGTGCCTATGTAAAATTAAAAAATACAGCTATTCAGGTGAGAATTAAATTTCTAACAGAATTTCTTCTAAGTGCTTGATTTAATGAAGCTACCTCCATTCCCACTGAGTCGATTCTGACTCCTAGTGACCCTATCGGACAGCATAGAACTACCCTGTAGGGTTTCTAAGAATGTAGTCTTTACAGAAGCAGGTCACCAGGTCTTTTCTCCTGTGGAGCTTTTGGTAGGTTTGAACTGCTGACCTTTGGGTTAGCGACCAAGTGCTTAACCACTGTACCACTGGACTCCTTAAGCTACAGGCTACTGAAGTTAAAGGCAATCGTATTTAGTTTTTGTCTTTTTCCTGAAGGAGACTGCGACTTTAATAAAGTAAAACTTAGGTCGCTTAAGCTGCTTGTAGACTTATATGCCTGTGTGTCTGAGGCCTTCAGCTTTCTCTGTCCCCCATGGCTCCCTTATGCAGCCTTTAGCTGTTTCTCATACTGGCTGCGAGAGTGATAATGGTTTGTCAACTAGAAGTCCCCAAGGTTTAGAATTCCTGGACCTTAGTGCCCTCCCGTTAGATCACGGAGCCTGTCTTTGAACACCTTCTCCTCGGTCAGTCACAGGACCTCAGGGAGGAATGGAAAACTTGTGGACCTTTGTAGTAGTATTTGACACCCTCTTGAGCGTTGTTTCAGGAGCCTGCTGGCCCAGTGCTTAACCGCTGGGCTGCTAACCGAAAGGTTAGTGGTTCAGACTCACCCAGCATCTCTGTAGGAGAAAGACCTGGTGATCTGCTCCCGTAAGGATTACAGCCTAGAAAACCTTATGGAACAGTTCTCCTCTGTCACTGTGAGTCAAAAGTGACTTGACGGCACCTAGCAAAGCTTTGTTTATCCTACTGAACGTGTATCAGAGTTCAGGTTTGGATTGCCTTTTCCACATAGCCCTAAACCTTCCGCCTCTTTTTTCTTTTCTGATTACATAAATGTGGCAGCGATGCTCCTTTATACCTGTTACGTCTTGGACCCAAGAAATTTGCAGCTGTGTGACTAGTTAGACCAGATAATTCTTTTTTAATAAAGACTTTCTCTTTACTTCCTGTTTTGTAGTTAGAGGAACAGTTAAGTTCTGAAAAGCAGTTGATTCATTGAGTTTATTTGGCAAACAAATAACACTGATTAAAAATCAAGGATTTCTGAAGAGATTAATAACTTTATAGAATAATCCAAAAGCACCCTTGTCGAGACACTGTTTTTTCGATTTCTGGATGTTTTCACATTTTGGAAAGTTCTGAATCATTTCTGGACCGCATTCAGTTTTACCTCCTTTTGACCTTTGATTGTTTTCTGTAACTACCTGAAGAGAGCATCTCCAGGGGGTTTCTACATAGTTTATAGCTGCTTCTTGTGGGTGAGTGGCTTGATGGTGAATCTGAGCTGCAGAACCCATTCAGTCACGTGGATATTTAGTTGTTTTTAGGACTCTCTGCACCAGTTGCATGTTATACAGCTGTGTTTAGACTTCATATTATTTTAGCAATAATGTTTTCTTAATTTATTTTAGTTCAGCACACATTTATTAAGCACCGACTCTGGCAGTACCTCATTTGTCTTGGGAATACAAAGATAAACAAGGCACACATAGTCTGTGCCCTCTAGGTGCATTTTACTGAGTTCTCCTATTTTATTGTTTCTGTGAGATGGTAATTGGTCCAGGTATTATTATCACAGAGCCTGATTCCCTTGCCCCACTCATTTGTACATCTGTAAATTCTGTAAGAAGCAGTGCTCTATTGATTTTTTTCTCCCCTGAACAGATTGTTACCCTTTCATATTGGGATCCTAAAAATAGACTTTTTAAAGAAGATCTGCTAGGTGGACAGCCTGAGAGCCATCTGAAACTTAAAAATGTTTCCTGCTGGCTTGCATAATTAATTTAAAAAAGTTATTCTCAGTTAACCAAAAAAAACCCCACTGCCGTTGAGTCAGTCTCGACTCATAATGACAGAGTAGAACTCCCCCATAGGTTTCCAAGGCTGTAACTTTTTATGGAAGCAGACTGCCACATCTTTCTCCTGCAGAGCGGCTGGTGGGTTCGAACCACCGACATTTTGGTAGCAGCCAAGTGCTTTAACCACTGCGCCAGTAGTGTTCCAGAAATAATATATTCCTCTCCAGAGAGATTTGTTGATTCTCCACATCCCCAGTATTCCAGTATTATCTTGTCTGTAAGAATCTATTGACAGTAGTTTTATATTCATTAGTTGGATTATTGGATTACGGGTGGATGTGGATTGGGTGACGTTTGTTAACATGCTGATGGATGTAGACGGAAACAGCAGTAGGAGAACTTTGAAAGCAAGAAGTTTGTTGTTTTAATCCCTCACATCTGTCTGTATTGTAGATCATTTTTTAATATTTGTTAGATGATGCTTATATTAAAGTGTTTTTGGTCTTACAGAATGTTTGGAAATACAGCATATTATTCTGTGGAAAATATTTACCTGCCACTTGTGTGTTTATTTCCCTACTGAATAACTTTAAGATGTGGAAATAGTTCTGAGTAGTAGAACTTGGCCTTACTACTTTTTTTTGAATCCCAAACCCACTGCTGTCCATTTGGTTCCTACTCATAGTGACCCTATAGGACAGAGTAGAACTGCCCCATAGGGTTTCCAAGGAGTGGCTGGTGGATTCGAACTGCCGACCTTTGTTTAGCAGCTGGGCCCTTAAGCACTGTGCCACCAGGGCTCTGGGAATAGGAACCTGTTGCTGTCGAGTTGATATTATTCTAAACTTAGAGCATGTACAGATTTAGAATTGATGCTTTCTTAGAGTTATCCATACAAATGTCATTTTAATACTAGAGACCTCATGGAACCTGTTGGTGATCTTGTCAAAATGCAAATTCTGATACATTAGGTCTGGGTGGGGCCTAAGATTCTGCATTTCTAAACAGTTCCCAGGTGGTGATGATGTTACTGGTCCCCAGACTACACTTTTTAAAAATGTTTTTATTTTGACATAATTTCAGACTCACAGAAAAGTTGCAGAAATAGACTTCTTGGGTATCCTTCATCCACATTTCCCAAATGTTAACATTTTGTTAAATATACCCTCTCACCTTCCCTCCCTCCCTCTCCCCTTCCCTTCCTTCCTTAGCTTGTATAATCTTTTTCTGAATGATTTAAGAGTCAGTTGCATACACAATGCTCCTTTATCCCTCAATAGTGCAATTATTAAAATCAGGAAATTAGTATTGATACAATTTTATCTAATTTCAACCTATTCAGACTTCTCCAGTTGTCCCAGTAATATCCTTTATAGCGAGGGTGATAAGAACAGTACATGCCATCTCTCTTTCGTGTCTTAACCTGGACCAGCTGCTGAGTCTTCTTTACATTTTATAACGTTGGCGTTTTTGAAGAACACGGGCCAGGTATTCGGTGTGAAACCGCAGTTGGGTAGGCTCAGGTGACGCACCTCGGCAGGGCCATCACAGCGGTGATGCTGAGTCAGTGCATCCCGCGAGGTGGCGCCTGCTGTCAGTCCATGACTGGTGATGTTTACTCCGATCGTTGGTTACAATGGTGTCTGCCACATTTCTCCACTGCAGAGTTGCTGTTTTACCCTTTGTATGTAATAAGTATATTGTAAGGAGATACTTTCAGACCATGTGATACTGTAATTCCTCAAATTGGCAGACCACCATATCCTTTAAGGAGCTAGATTGGGAGTTTCGCTGACAATACAGTAGCCACAAGCCGTGTTGGCTGCTGAGCACTTGAAGTGTGTCTGAATTGAGGTGTGCTGTAAATGTAACATACACGCCAGGCTCTGAAGACTTAGTAAAAAGCAAGAATGCAAATACTGCATTAATATTCTTTTTTATTGATTACATGTTGAAATGAAATATTTGGAATATATTGGGTTTAACAAAATAAATCATTAAAATTAATTTCATCTGTTTTTACTTTTTTTAATGTATATATTAGAAAGTTTAAAATTCAATGTGTGGTTTGTCTTACAGTAGACATTGCTGATGTCGATCCAGAGCTCACTTTTAGCCAAGATAAGCTCCTGTACACATTTTCCAAAATAGTTTTATTTTAGTGGTTGGGATGATGGCAAGATTGATTGATGATTGGTTTGTTCTACCAGTATTTACTTAAGTGCTGACCATAACCCAGGCACTTAAAGAAAAAGTGGTGATCGTGACCAGAAAGGTGCTGTCTTTATGGAGATTACAAGCTAAGGACGGTATTAGTTGCATTTAATCCAAGTTCTCTGTAGAATAAAAATTGAAACCATGGGACTGGTTTAAAGTAGAAGGAAAATTTAGTAGAAATGAAGGCTTTTGCTAAGTAAACACGAGAGAAGTGATATTTGTGATAGAGAAAGTAAGTCAATAGTGATGTCAAGCAAGAGTACATACCTTCTTCACCCATTTCAGTAGGGTTTGTCTTTGCAATGAATTTTTTTCGTTTAAATACATTTCTGAATCAGGCACTCGGAATAGAAAATACTTTGTTAAAATATTTTTTGGTTAGAATCATACTGCTTGTATGTGGATAAATTTGCTGCTAACTTTTATGTTTTTTTTTTGTAGTTGAAGCAATGAAGAGAGTTGAAGAGATCAAACAGAAGCGCCAGGCTACATTTATAATGAACAGGTATGAATCTTGTGTAAAGTAACTCTCGGAAAAATAGTTACTGGTAGAAATCTAGAGGCAGTAGTTTTTTTTGTTGTTTTTTTTCCCCCCCAATTTTTATTTTGACATAATTTCAGACTTAACAAAAACTTGCAAGAATGTTACAAAGAATTATTGTATATATTATCATTTTACCACATTTACTTTATCTTTGTTTCTTTCTGTGCATAGTATGTTTGAGGCATGATGTCCTTTTCCTCTTACGTATACCTCAGTGTGTATATCCTAAAAATAAGAACCCTCTTACATAATTCTAATATAGTTATCAAATCCAGGAAATTACATTGACACAGTACTATTACAAAGTCTACCAGCCTGATTTAGATTATGCCAATTGTTCCAGTAATGCCCATAGCAGAAGAAAACCCTGGCTCCTGCGTTGCATTTAGTGATCATATCTCTTTAGACCACTTTAGTCTGGAACGGTTTCTCATCTTTATCTTACATGACAGTGACTTTTTTTCTTTTTTTTTTTTGGATAAAGCAAGTTTAATTTAAAACACAGTCACTCCCCTTTCCCTATCAAGGTGAGCCATTTTCTGTCTGAATTTTCTCCATGTCTCAGTGCTGTCTGGCAGGTCCTATGGGAAAGTTCATCTCAAAAGAGGTCAACAGCAAATGCTACAGATCTGCTCAGGAAATGTGGCTCATCAACATCGCTAAAGCTACTACCACCCTCATTCTTTAGCCTCTCTTTCCCTACTTCCCTCCCCTCCCCAAACTCCCTTCCACATCTACTCCCTTTTCAGGTGACAACTGTACTTCTGCCTGAATTCAAATATTATGATACCCTCAGTCATAAGATGAGCATTCATAGCGACAGGCTGAGACTTACTGCGGCAACCGCCACAGTGAGAGTTACGGTTTGCCGTCACACTTCCACTGGGGAGTCTAAGCGAAGGATTGTGAAGGTGCCTGATGGGAAGGAGGGTTTCCACCTGGGCAGTTTCATTCCATTTAGAAACTGATCCAATTGAAAAAGATATGTTTTACTGGCACTGGGTAAACGACACAGCACTCTTGCTTTTGTCTTGGATTTTTTTTCTCTGAGTGTGGATGAGAAACAGATTATCAGACTTGGGAGGAAACAGGTCAGGACTATCAGCAATAAACTATCAGGATATGTAGGGGACAGATTCCTAAGTAATTCCCATGCCCAAAGAAAGCAAAAGCTTCCAAGCCTGGTGATGAACACAAATGTTCTAGCTCTCCAGATACAGGAAAGAAGCTGCAGGCTACCCTATGGTGACGATGGGTGAGGGGCAGCCAAGACAGTGACATTTTTGAGGAGTGTAGGTCAGTTATTTTTACAGGATGTTTCTCAGTTGTGTCTGATGTTTTCCTCAGGATGAGGTTCAGGTGGAGTACCTGTGGCAGGAGTACCCCAGCGTGACAGTGCATCCTTCTCAGTGCATCATATCAGGAAGCACATGCTGTCCCCATGTTGGTGATGGTAACTTTGGTCACCTGATTAAGATTGTGTCTGCCAGAGTTCTCCACTGGAAAGTTACCATTTTTGCCCCCTTTTTCATTAATACATAGCTTGGGGGAGATACATTGAGACTCTGCAAAGAGCCTGTTGTTCTTCAGACTTGTACCCACTGGTTTTAGCATTGTTTGGAGAGAGTCTTTCCTGAATTGATTACTGTTGTGATTGCTGCCAGATCGTTTTTCTCTATCATTTTTTGTACTTTTATTAGTTGGGTTTCTCATGTAAGAAAGGGCTTTCTTTTCTCCCTTTGTTTCATTCGTTCATTCATATCATGTCTGTGTGTGTCCATGGGTCTTGTGGCATTCAGTGGGCTGTAATTCTTTACTCTTGTCTGTTGCGATACCCTAAGTGCCCAGGTTGACCCGTGGGAGCATCATCAGGCATGCTCCTGGTCCTCATTGTTCTTCCAGTGCTTTCTTGCTTTGTGCCTAACGAGATGTTTAAGACTCATCTTGTACTTTTCATCCCCCCACCTGGAGTTGGCTATTCACAGTTAGGGTAATAGTTTTCAGTGTAATTACTGTGGAAGTCTGTCATAGAGACGAAGCAGGTGCCAGCAGCTTTCTGATTAACAAAAAAATGTTAAAGCATTACAGAAGAGAGGCCTAAATGTGTGACAACTAGTCTGTTAGCATTTTTATTGAATGACTTTCAGTGTTTTGTGCTCTTGTAATTACTGAATCATTTAAAAAAGATCTAGGCACTTCAACAATTTGAGATTGTTTTATGAGATAGAGCACTGTAGTGTGTATCATAGAAGTTGATTTCTGAGGTTTGTTAATTCTTTTCTTCATTCAATCCTATTTCTTCATTCACTCAGTAAATATATATGAGCTCCCGTTTTGTCCCAGTTGTTGGACTAGGCACTACGGTACAGTGAATGAAGAAGTCGATAGTGTAGAAATCTCATGTGAGTTAATTAGAAACTAGAAAATCATGAGTTTGAGTTGTTAAGAAAACATGCATCTGTAAGGGATCAACAGGTGGCTTTACCTTAAATTTGGGAATAAATGTAAGATATTGCTTTTTTGTGAGTAATTTTAGAGAACAGAGAGACTTTGTTATTTGATGATGCTTCTGCTCTGGATGGAATGGTGGGGAGGGGAACAGAAGGGCAACCACCTAGTTTCCATTCCCTATGTGTGTGACTAAATTAGTGAAACTTAATAACCACATTGTGAATTAATGTCTCTTAAAGAAGCTTTAGTGACTGAACTTTTGGCTTGATGTGCCTGATTCTAGGTTAAAGAAAAATAAAGAGCTACAGAAAGTTCAGGACATCAAAGAAGTCAAGCAAAACATCCATCTTATCCGGGCTCCCCTTGCAGGTAAGTACTGCGTAGCGCGGGGATTCTTTGCTTTAAGTGGGGAGATAAAAATCCAGCCTTCTGTGATCTGTGTAATTGGGTGTCACCTAACTTTTAAGGGTCTTTTTCATTTAAATGTTAATCTCTCATAGTACCTTTGTGATGTGTGACTTGATTTATCAAACGCAGTTCATCCAGTGTATCTCCCAGTCAGGCTGCTGTATGTGGTGTTTCTTTCCCCTCCTCATAAAATCTTGTGGTACACAAGTTAGCTCTCCAAGTTAAGCAAAATGATTTAAGTAATAATTTCATAAGGTGATTTTGCCTCACACCTGTCTTGATTAAAGGATTATGTATTAGTGGTTTTCAGACTTTGGTTGGTAACACAATTAGTTGGGATCTTCGTGAAACTTCAGAGGGCTGGGTCCTTTGTATTTGGGCCTTGTGTTCTTTATTAGCTTTCCAGTGGACTCTGATGGGCACTAAAATTTGAGAACTGTTTTATATTTAATCCTTCTCTTTGTGCTTGTGTAACTTCTTGTTATTCAATAATTTGGGCAGTTCATGTGCATGATTTCCTTTGTGAAGTGCTAGGAAACCTGTCTTACTCAGCCAGTACCAAGTACAGTCTGTTACATAATTTACTAACTTAGGCAGATTATATAAAAGAGAAGAAATTTTGGTGAGATTTAGTTGAAAACTTGATTCCATGTCAACCTTAATAAAGGCCGAATTTTGTAACCACACGTTGAGTAGATTTGTGAAAAACCTAGGTTAGTTTTGCACCAAATTCTATTGAAACAAAGTAGATAAATCCCTGGAGAATGCATATAAAGCGTTTCATGTGTAGATGATATGAACTGGCACCTAGAAAAGAACAGGAGTGAGCATTGTTACCTAACTTTTGAGGTGACCCTCTTTGAGGAAGGTAGTAGAGTGTTCAGTGCAGGGACCCTGGCCATAGAATGCCAGAGTTTAAATCCCAGCTCTTTGACTTCACTAGATTTACTAGCTGAGTGACCTTGGGTCTGTCTCTGTGCCTCAGTTTTCTCATCTGTAAAATGGGAGTTGCAGTGAAGATGAGATGAGCAAATACTTGTGAAGTGCTTACTTGATGCATGGGATATCATGAGCCCTATATAAGTTTTGCTGTTATTATCTTTACCTTTCTTAGAAATAGCTAATATTGTTCTAAATCATTCAAGATCCTTTATAAAATGTTAGTATGACTTCTGCAAGGTGACAATGAATTGATAATTTTTTTTTTTTCCTAAGGCAAAGGAAAACAGCTGGAAGACAAAATGGTACAGAAATTACAAGAGGATGTGGATATGGAAGATGTGTCTTAAAAATCTCACTGTAACCGTTTCTAGATGTGCATTTAAAAACTCCTTTGAAGATTTGGAACTTCTGAATGATTGATTTATTTTTTATATAAGGTCACTCAGATGTGATTAAAAGTACATGTCTCTTCCATTACTATCTGTAAAACATCAGGTGTTACGGATGTTTGATTATATCTCAGTGTTAAACCTTCACTGATAGATATACTTATGTAAATCACGAAAATTCTGTTTATAATTACAGAAGTGAACTGTGAGCATAAAATGGTCTGCATTTGCATAATGGCACTACACGCCTTTCTGTAGTGACAAAATTCATGGCTAATGATATAGAAAATAAAATTTTCTTTGCAGTAAATTACTTCCTTTATTAATGATATAGAAGGGGGGATATAACAAGGAACTGACAGTCTATGTGAAAATTGGCCTCATACGATATCTTTTATTTTGTTTTCAAGATCTCCCGTTTAGGTTTAATAGCAGCTTAGAAGAGCATAGTAGCCTCGTAGATGGAAGCCTAATTATGTTGAACTGTTCTGACTTCGTTTAACTTTCTGCTAGCCAGTTGTGGAAGTTGGAGGTGAGAGCTGAATAGAAATGGCACTAAATTCTGTTCATTTCCACATTAGAATATTCAGTTTTAACTTGACATTCCTGGTAGAACAAGCTTTATTTTTCCAGCTTGGCATTGAGTTAGAAGGAGAGGGATCCCATTGCCTTTTAAAATTTATTGCGTGGTTTTCTTTAAAAAAGCTTATAACTGTTTTTGGAAAATAGAATTTTTGTGTAGAGTTTCTGCTATTTACACATAAAATGAAATCATTTCTGAAGTAGGTACCTACATATTACTTAAAAGTACTAAGCAAAGCTGTGCAGTATCTATTACTTGGGAGGAAATAGCTTCCCCCATACATAGTACTTGAGTAAGCTGTATTTAATTAAAGAGAAGTCCAGGTAATTCCCGACTTACGGTGGAGTTCCGTTCCAGTGACTGTCGTAACTTGGTTCTGATGTAAGTTGAATACCCTCGTTTTTTTCCCCCCTCAGTTTTCATTATTATTGTCTTTTATTGTCAGTATCTGATCTTTGAACACCTGGGAGTGAACATCTGAGAATAGTAACATCAGCAAATTATGTGCTACAGCATTGTATGTAGTACGTACGACTAAGGATGCCACCTACAGAAACAAACAACAAAAACAGTCGTAAGCATGGTTCGTTCATTGTAACTCAGACGTGTCCTAAGCTGAGGACTACCTGTATGTACTTAATACTTCATGTTTCTGTGTTTTTACGTTGCTCACAACTTGAAATATATTAAGAATATTAAGTAAATCTGCCAGTTTTATATTGGTGTTTTTAGGGCAGAATTTAGATTACAAATTTTTAGGGTTATGTAATTATGAAGTAATCGTGAATTTTGACTGGACAGAGTATGAGAAGACCTGAATTCCAGTGTGGTTCTGCCTCTGTGTTCTTATTTGTAAAATACAGTTTATTTGTAAGCAGCGTTAACTGCTGTGAAGATCAAGGTAAATGATATATGCCGTGAAAGACATTTGTAAACGTTCTTGGGAATTTTTCATTCCATACCATATTTGTATTTAATATAACAATGTTTGACATTACATACTCTTAGGAAACAAGTTTTCTGTCTTGCTAGTTAGTGAACATGATGCTTTTGCCTTCAGATCATCAGTTTGGGAAAACTGGGTTGACCTGGAGAGTGATGTTGCATCTCAGGTGTAGCATCCAGACGGCTCTCTGACAGTTTCATAGCATTTTCAGACCCCAGATCTCATTATAAACAATATGAGTATAAACGCCACAGTTTTATCCTGACAACTCTGTAAGCTTAGCCAGGATCACCGAGGTGACTTATCCTTTTACAGTGTTGCCTCAGGGGTGACGTGGTACAATACTTTCAGGGTCCTCTTGTTTCAGCTTGTCTGGCTGAGGCTTATGCTAGCCTGTCAGCACAGCACAAAGGTGCAAAATTTTCCAGACACTACACAGAACTTTCGTATTCTCTAATTTTTTTTAAGAACAATATAGGATTGGCAGTCATGGAAAAGAATTTTCTTGTACATATACCTTATACATTCTTGTAAGATTGTAGGAATAATCCCTCACATTTAAAGTTTTCTCATTTCTTAAAAATAGAAAGCCTAGGAAGGTGTTGGTGTTCATCTGTAGATAGGCATTTGAGAAGGACTGGCCAGTTTCACAATTTCCCTGTGAAGAAGATAACATTATTTAATAGAAAAAGTAAAGTCTAGGTAACTTGCCCCTTTGCCTGTGAAGAAGATAGCATTATTTTATAGATGGAAGAATTGAAGTCTAGGTAACTTGCCCCTTTGTCACACAGCTAGAAGAGGGAGGGGTCAGGGATCTGTGCCCGTACTTCCCCAGAGCTGTCCTGCATATACGCAGAAGGGATTTCCCCAAGCCCCACAGATCCATTCTCCAGGAGTCCGGGTGATTATTATGAGATGACTGTGCACGACCCTTGTCTGTCACTCAGCTTGCCTGTGACTTGGTGTCTTAATCTGTAAAAGGGAGATAATGATAGGACCTACCTCAGGGCTTCTGTGAAGATTCAGTCAGTTAATACACGTAAAATGCTTATTTCAAGGCCACCGCACAGTAAGTTAGCATTAAAACGTCAGCCCTTATAACTGGCTGTGTGACCACACTAGGCTTTGGGGACTGTTGTTGCTGTGTGCTCTTGAGTCGATCTCTAGTCATAGTACCCCAATAGGACAGAGTAGAGCTGCCCCATAGGATTTCCTAGACTGTAATCTTTACAGCTCTTTTTCTCCTCTGGAGCAGCTTGTATGTTTGAACTGATGACCTTTTGGTTATCAGCTGAGCGCTTAACCTTTGTTCCACCAGGGTTCCTTGCTTTGGGGTAAAGAAAAAAACAAACCTGTTGCTGTCTGAGTTGATTCCGGCTCATAGTGACCATAATGACCCTAAAGGGCAGAGGAGAACTGCCCCATAGGGTTTCTAAGGAGCGGCTAGCGGATTCAAACTGCTGACCTTACGGTTAGCAGCCGAGCTCTTAACCACTGCACCACCAGGGCTCCTGCTTTGGGGATAGCTGTGTTTAAAGTGAGTGCAGTATACTTAGTCCACAAAGACAGAAACGTATGTGATTTAAAATGTTAACTTTAGCCTTTAAGTCATGAGTGAAGTTCAGTTATTAGGAGGAGCATTTTATTCCCCAGTCTGGTGTGAAGAGTGAGGAGGGGAAATATGTTTTTGGCTTCTCTCAGGTAGTGGTTTAAAAAATGATTATAGCATGTAATTTTAAGAGATATAAAAGGTAGTTTAAGAGATAGTGTATGGTATAAGGGAAGTTATTCCATCCCCGCCCCCCCATCCTTTAGCTTACATTTTAAATAGATATCTAGAAAAAGACATTAGACTTTAATCATTCATAGATTTATGGTGTAAATTCTGATAATTGAATGAAGACTACTTTGTAAAAGTTAACATGGCAGCTTGCTGAGTTAAAAGTATTGAAAAAACAAGTAGAAAAAGGCATTACTTAAAAAATTTCAATTTCAAGGACTTGTAAGAATTTTCCAAAGTGTGTATTTCTTCACTGGCATATGGAAGAATTGAAAAAGTGACCCACAGATCCTACCCGCCACGTCTTTATACTGAGTGAATCAGCCTCATGTTGATTTGAATCATTCTTAAAGGAGAAGTGACCCTTTTCTTAACAAGAATGTATCCTTGCATTCTAAGCGTAAGGATCTCTACTACCTTCTGGTGCCTTGGGGTGAGCCTCTGACTTCAGCCCTTCTGCGTGAGCACTCCTTAGGTTCTGAAGCTGTCTACCTCACGTGGAGGCTGGAAGTGGTATTTCTCCCATGTGACCTTCCCTGGAGTCTGATTGCCTAGACTCTTCGTTGATTGGTGGTGGCGCAGACAGTTCAGCACAGGCTACTAACTGACGGGTGAACAATGCGAACCCACGAACCCACCAGAGGTGCCGCAGAAGACAGGCCTCTTGGTCTGCTTTTGGAGGGTCACAGCCTTGAGAACCCTGGGAAGTGCAGTTCTCCCCTGAAACGGCTTGCCGTGAGTTGGAATCAACTCTGGCAACCCTTCTTTTTACCAAAGTTTGAAACTAAAACTCTTGACTGATAGACATCCTCTTCCCTTCTAGCCCAGTTTCCGTCATAATCTTAAAGCGTGCAGGCACTGTTTATATTTTATGCCAGGTGTGTATTACATGCCTGGTGCATGGAAGGTGCCCAATGAGTGTCGACTAAATGGGAAACGAACGTGTAGCCATGTGCTAAATTTACTTTAGTCTGTTTTTATGTAACCAACTTGAAAGATACAGAGAATGAGTTAACAGAGAGCTGAGAGGTATACTAAGGTTGAAAACCTCCTGTCTGTGACTCGTCAGGGTCACACCTGCAGGTTAGCAAGGCTTGCTGGAGAGCCTTCCCGCTTCAGGCAGCATTCCCGATTTTGCTGTTTAGGTTGCTGTCTAATGGTGATAGGCCATTCCCACTTGCATTTCTGGGTCTGGCTGGAGCGTTCACACGTCAAGGAATCCAGGGAAGACAGCAGAGGCTGGTTTTGGCAGATTTCTTAAAAAGTTTCCCTCAGAACTTGCTTTGCTGATGTGAATAGTCCGTTACTTCAGGACCACAGAATCCAGAAAGAAAGCTGGAGAACTAATTGGGGGAGAATCCGTCACGCCAAGGAGGACTGCTTTACCAAAGGAATGTTAACCAATCAGAATACAGGGGCCAGGCCCTTAGTAGTTGGAGAAACTTTTGTTTTCTGAGTGCCAACTTCTAAATGCTTGCTTTGTTCAGTGTATCCGGTAAAGTGTATATACTTTGGTTTGACCCCAAGCCATGGACTCTGTGCTGCCATGGTTCGCTTTCGTATGGCTTTTCTCGCTGTGGTCTTGTAGCTCCCACCCAGGTGATTGGGTAGGGCGGTGTGGATAAGCAGTTGTGGCCCACCCAGAGGATTAGGTGGGGCAGTGCAGATAAGACAGTTGTGGCCCACCCAGGGGATTAGGTGGGGCAGTGTGGATAAGACAGTTGTGGCCTATCCAGGTGATTAGGTGGGGCAGCGCGGATAAGACAGTTGTGGCCCACCCAGGGGATTAGGTGGGGCAGTGTGGATAAGCAGTTGTGGCCCACCCATGGGATTAGGTGGGGCAGTGCGGATAAGGCAGTTGTGGCCCACCCAGGGGTTGGTCAGTTTTGCCATCCCGATAGGCTTCAAAGAGAGCCACCTCCAGATGAGAGACGATCTCAGTAACACCAAGGAAGAAGAGCCAACGTCCTTTGGACCCAGGATCCACACAACAGTACTTTA